AAGATACTTGACGGTGTAGTAAGATGCAAGTAAATAATAGGGAAGAGATGTAAATTTTGCAGTCCTATAGCCTTTGAGAAATTAACCCTATAGCGTTTCAGGAAGGGTATCAAAGAGAGGCATCAGTCAAAACATTGTTGTCCCGAGAATTTGGAAGCATAATTTTTCTTCCTAAGATTTTTTTTTAGCTTCCTGCGAGTTATTATCCCTCTTTAGGGAAAGATGTAAGCAGAAGTAAAAGAAATAAGGGTCCAAACTCCATTTGAGGTATCTAATTTGTTTTCTAAGCATAATAGGATGCTGTGTGTTAATAATTTCTATTCGATGATTATTGATTTATTAATGTAGCATGATGTGGTGTTGGACGACAAAAGTAGACTTCAACTAAATCATCCTCTTATTTGAATTTTGTTTTTGTCCTAATAATCAACATGCCATTTCTTTTAGAAAACAGAACTATCTTTGGAGAGTGGGGTCTATTCATTTGAGGAAGAAAGTGAGTTACCAAAAGGAACCACGAGGAAGGTGAGGTAGAGCCCTGTATATTAGTCACATTGATCTCTTTACACAGGAGTTTATGGATTGCTTAGGGATAAATATTTTATTTTGTCTATCATATTTTTCTGTTACCCATCATATTGCTTTGTACATAGTAGGAACAAAATATGGATTGGATTGAACGAATTCTCTGAGACTTGAATGAATTCTCTAAGACTTTAAATGAATTCCTTGAGTTTATACTGCATTTGGCTTACTATTTCCTTTCCTCTTTTCTTGGAGAGAACAAACTCTTGAGGGATGAATATCTATCTTTCTGGATATTCATGTAATTAATGTAGTCTCACTTTTTGTTTTCTTTAAGGAAAGAAAGGCAGCCAAATTAAGTAAAGAAGCATTAAAACAACTGCATAGTGAGACTCAGCGCCTTATTCGAGGTAATGCAACCCAGTAAACTTTGAGGCAAAATCACAATGTTTCTTGGTAAGCTCAACTTGGATGTTGAGGACTTTTATTTTTTTAACACTTCTAATGTGAACTCAGGTTATAATATCAAGTTTAGAATTTATCTTGGTGAAAGGCCATTGTTCTAAAGCCCTTGGAACATTAGTATAAAAAGAAATTTTCAGAATTGTAATGCAGGTAAGGAGGAAATTTAATGGTTGTCTGTGGACTGATTCTGTTAGGATTCTTTGGAGAGGTAGTAGTCCCTCTTTATTTGCAGTTTTGGTTACCCGTGGTCAGCCATGGTCCATGGAATTTAAAAAAAACATCCCTTTGTCCAGTGTATCACACTGTAGATGTTACCTGCCTGTTAGTCAGTTAGTAGCCCTCTCAGTTATCAGATGAAAAAAACACTGCATGGTTTAGTACTATCTGCAGTTTCAGGCATCCACTGCAGGTCTTGGAATGTATCCCTGTGGATAAGCAGGGACTACCATATATAAATTTTTAGGCTCCACAGAGATTCTGATTCAGTAGGTTTGAAATGGGATCCAAGAATCTGTATTTCTAAAAAACTTCCTAGATCATTTTGATTTCACATCTAGGTTTAAAAGCCATTGGTCTTCAGGGAACTCTTCTGTACTTAGCTCCTCTGCCTTTGTTAAAGGGGAGTTTTCTATTTCTAGTGATGGCGTTGGTTATTATGTGTGGTTAACTGAATATGAAGTGACATTTCAGAATATACAGTATATATATTTGCTTGTTTTATTCTGTTTTATAGAGTCTGCACTTAACCTTCCGTATCATATGCCTGAGAATAAAACCATTCACGATTTCTTCAAACGTAAACCCCGGCCCACTTGCCAGGGAAATGCCATGGCACTACTGAAGTAAGAACACTCTTATTATTATATTAAATTATTATTTTCATGAACATTTAGTTTTGTAGCAAACATCTGGCATAAAAAGTTCAGATTTCTCACTCCCTTAAAACTGATTTAACTGATGTATACTAAGGGATGAGAATGTTTCACATTTAGGATAATTTTCAACTCCAGCTCATTTTCTCTTCTCTAGGTCATCTAAATATCAGTCAAGCCATCACAAAGAAATCACAGACACTGCAAATACCACTGAAATGAACAGTTATCACCACAGTAAAGGTTCTGAGCAGACAACGGGTGCAAAAAATGAAGTGGAAATTAATGCACTCCCTGTGGTTTCAAAGGAAACCCAGATCATTACTGGATCAGATGAGTCTTCTGGGAAGGATTTGGTAAAAAATGAAGAGCTAGAAATTCAGGAGAAACAGAAGCAGAGTGACATTAGACCTTCACCTGGGGACAGCTCGGTGGTGCAACAGGAATCCAACTTCCTTGGGAACAATCACAGTGAGGAATGTCAGGTTGGAGGGCTTGTAGCATTTGAACCTCATGCCCTGGAGGGTGAAGACCCCCAAAATCCAGAAGAAACAGATGAGAAAGTGGAAGAGCCTGGGCAGCAAAATAAATCATCAGCAGTTGTGCCACCTGAAAAAGTGAGAAGATTTACTCTGGATAGACTTAAGCAACTGGGAGTAGATGTTTCCATTAAACCACGGCTAGGTGCTGATGAAGATTCCTTTGTGATACTTGATGAACCTGAAACCAACAGAGGTAATCCTTTAAATTGTGGGGAGTCTCCCTGGTGTGATTATCCTGGTAGCTTTTGATTATTGACCACTGTCGAGGAGAGAGAACATAGAAGAAATCAATAACCACATGTGATCTTATCCTGCAGTTGTTCCAGATATGGGCAGAATCCCTTTTAGAGAAATTTGGCAGGGTATCAGAATGATCTAAGCCATGTTTAAAATGGAAGTCTGTTGGCCAGGTGTAGTGGCTAACGCCTGTAATCCCAGCACTTTGGGATGCTAAGGCGGGCAGATCACGAGGTCAGGAGTTTGAGACCAGCCTGGCCAATATAGTGAAACCTGTCTGTACTAAAAATACAAAAATTAGCCCGGCATGGTGGCATGCATCTGTAGTCCTAGCTACTTGGGAGGCTGGGACAGGAGAATTACTTGAACCCAGGAGGCAGAGGTTGCAGTGAGCTGAGACTGCACCATTGCACTCCAGCCTGGGTGACGGAGTGAGACTCTCTCAAAAAAAAAAAAGCTTGTTGATAGTTAATGTAAAAATGAGGTACATTGCTATTGTGTTATGGTATTTAGGAATTTATTATTTCTGCCTTTCCAATCTGAAATTAAGTTTTTTCTATAATCCTGAGTCAAATCTTTTTTTTTTTTTTTTTTTCTGAGACGGAGTCTCCCTCTGTCGCCCAAGCTGGAGTGCAGTGGTGCGATCTTGGCTCACTGCAAGCTTCGCCTCCTAGGTTCACACTACTCTCCTGCCTCAGCCTCCCTACTAGCTGGGACTACAGGCGCCCGCCACTACGCCCGGCTAATTTTCTGTATTTTTTAGTAGAGATGGGGTTTCCACTGTGTTTGCCAGGATAGTCTCGCTCTCCTGACCTCATGATCCGCCCGCCTCGGCCTCCCAGAGTGCTGGGATTACAGGCGTGAGCCACCGCGCCTGGCCTGAGTCAAATCTTAAGACATTGATGAAAACATCGTTTAATATTTTACTGCTAAAGAGAAACATATTGGTTCACTTAAATTATCTGTGAAACTGAATTTCTTTTGTTTTCACTCATTCAACGAATATTAAAGTATCTACTATGAGTAAGTTGCTATGGGGCGTACTAAGATAAATCTGATATTTAAGGTATACTTAAGATGCTTTTACTCTAATGGGGGAGATAAGAAGAATGCAAATAACAAGTACAAAGGAGAAAATGGTAAATGATGTCTTTGATAATGAATATGTCATTGATAATTGGAAAATAAATAACATGAAAAAGGAAAAGTATTATTTTCTTAAAGAACATTTAGAATAAAATACTGTAGGAATTCAGAGAGGGATAAATTTCTTCCAATGAATGGTTAGAGGACAGCTTGAAGAATAGGTGGATGTAATTACTTGTTCACTGCCTTCCCTTTATACTGTGAGTTGGGATCTCCTGCCTTGTTCCCTACTCTATCCCTAGTGCTTCCTCAGTGGATGACACGTTGTAGGCACTTGTATTTATCAAATGAATGAATGATCTCTCAACACTGAACTCAAGTATTACCACGTTGAATAAATTTCCTGACTCTTAGATAGAGTTGGATGCTCCCTACTCTGCCTTGAGGCAGTATGGCATGGTGGTTAAGAGCTTAGACTTTGTGGCCAGACGCGGTGGCTCACGCCTGTAATCCCAGCACTTTGGGAGGCCGAGGCGGGTGGATCGCAAGGTCGGGAGATCGAGACCATCCTGGCTAACATAGTGAAACCCCGTCTCTACTAAAAATACAAAAAATTAGCTGGGTGCGGTGGCGGGCGCCTGTAGTCCCAGCTACTCAGGAGGCTGAGGCAGGAGAATGGCATGAACCTGGGAGGCTGAGTTCCCAGTGAGCCGAGATTGCACCACTGCACTCTAGCCTGGGTGATACAGTGAGACTCCATCTCAAAAAAAAAAAAAAAGAAAGAAAAAAGCACTTTATGGCTTATGGGCTATGGTGAAGATGTGTTGAAATAATGCATGCAAATGGATAGTTTAAAGAAGCACTCAAAAAGTTGTTGCTGCTTCTACTATTATTAGTGAAATAGTTCACATCAAGACTTTTTTTTTTTTGAGACAGACTTTCACTTGTTCTTGTCACCCAGACTGGAGTGAATGCTGCGATCTCAGCTCACTGCAACCTCCACCTCCTGGGTTCAAGCAATTCTCCTGCCTCAGCCTCTCAAGTAGCTGGGATTACAGGTGCCCGCCACCACACCCAGCTAATTTTTGTACTTTTAGTAGAGATGGGGTTTCACCATGTTGGCCAGGCTAGTCTTGAACTCCTGACCTTAGGTGATCTGCCTGCCTTGACGTCCCTAAGTGCTGGGATTACAGGTGTGAGCCACTACACTTGATCAAGACTCTTTCATTAAACCGGGCACAGTCAGTGGCTTATGCCTGTAATTCTAGCACTTTAGGAGGCGGAGGTGGGAGGATTGCGTGAGCCTGGGGGGTCAAAGCTGCAGTGAGTTGTGAGCTGAAATTGCACTACTGCACTCTAGTCTGGGAGACAGAACGAGACCCTGTCTCATAAAAACACACACACACACACAAAATTATCTTTCATTAAACAGCTTATTGTTGGCAGGTGCTATGTCAGCCACTATATCTGGTGTGTAAAATATGCTCAGTGAGTCTGTTAATTGAATGAGTTGACTTTGGAGATGGAGAGGATAGAAAGAGCACCTTTTCTCATTAAAAAAACACACCCACACATACACAAAAAGATTCTCTTTCATTAAACAGCTTATTGTTGGTAGGTGCTATGTCAGCCACTGTATCTGGTGTGTAAAATATGCTCAGTGAGTTTGATAACTGAATGGGTTGACTTTGGAGATGAGGAGAAGGATAGAAAGAGCTCTGCATGGTAGTGCGTATTGTGAAGATGTGAAAGTCAGTTTGACCAGCGCTGGAGGTTGAGGTGGCAGAGTTGTGTAACAGAGCTAGCATAGCTCCATTAGCAAAGAAGCATGAGAATAAGCTGTTGTCTGGAACACTGAGGGAAAGTTTCTGTTCTATGGGACTAAAAGTTACCTAAACAGTCCTAGACTGATAGGAAAGGGAGAAACGTTTTTTGAGTACCAACTATATTAGACACTGGTACATTCTTTGTTAGTTGTCTTTCTTAATTTTCATAGCGCGAGGTATTATTTTGCAAAATGAAGAGACTGAGGCTCAGAGAGGTTAGGTAATTTTTCCAGCATTATACTTGGCTTATAAAGGGACCTACATAGTGGCTGGCATATGGTGAGCACTTACTTTTTAACTTGGAACATGTTTTCCTTTAGAAATAATTGACATGAAATTTGGGTTTCCAGACCAGCCATAATATACATGAAGTTAGAATCAACATTCATTCATTCATGCAATAAATTGTATTTAGCACTGTGTTTGGTGCTGTGTATACACGTAAAACACTCCCTGCTCTTAAAGAAATTAAAGTATAATAGGAGTGATAGGCAGGCAAACAGACCATTACAATACTGGATGGTAAGTGCTGTGATCAAGGTATGTAATTGAGGGTGCATTGGGAACCTAGAGGAAGGGTACATTACTTGGAGTCTAGAAGTCAAGGAAGTTTCTGAAAGGAGCTCAGTAGAGATACCAAGGCAGAGAGGTGAGGGAGGACTTTTTTGGTGGAGAGGTTGGACCTGCAGATGTCAGAGACAATAGAAAGCACAGGGTGTTCTACCTGGCTGAAGTGAAGATAGCAAGGACATTGGTGATCATTGCCCAGATCCTTCAGGGTTTTTATGCCATGCTAGGAGCTTGGACTTTAGCTCTTTGTAAGTAGAGGACCATTGAAACGTTTTCAGCAAAGGAAATGTTCAATCAGATACTCACTTTAGGAAGTTAAATCTGGTACCTGATGTGGTGGATGCATTGGAAGGGGTTAAGAGTAAAAACAGTGGGAACAGCTCAGTTTCCTTACCTCATATAGGATAAGGTTTCCATGAAAAAATGCATGTAAATTTAAATTTTGTGATGTCAGAAATACATTACTTTTGTTGCTTGCAATAGCATATGGAATAATCCCTGCCTCTAATTCTACTTTCTGGACAAGAGTAATGTGAATGAGAACAGTTCTCATGCTGACTGCTATTTTAAGTCCCAGGTAATCTTCCCACCCAACCATTTCTCTTGCTCTAGTGGCATCAATAATAACCTGCCTATTTCTGTTCCCTTTTCCCTGCCACTACCTGTTGCTTTTAGCTTTACTGAACCACTGCAAAATAGGAGGCAGACTTATAGCTTGTCTCTCTACTCTTTTGTTTGCAATGTAAACATAGCATCCTTTAGAGTTGGGTTTTTGCTGCTAATAATGTTGGGGGCTCAGGATAAAAAGATTTCCTTCATTTTTCTCTTTTTCTAGTAAGACCATCTAGGGGAAAAAAAACACACATCTAGATGCTAGTCACAAAAATACTGAAGTATGATTTGAGTGCATTTTAGAAAATTAACCAAAGTTTCATGCCTATAGTCCCAGCACTTTGGGAGACTAAGGTGGGAAGATCGCTTTGAGGCCAGGCGTTTGAGAACAGCCTGGGCAACATAGCGAGTTCCTGTCTTTACAAAAATAAAAAACCCAGATGTGGTGACATGCACCTGTAGTCCTAGCTACTTGGGAGGGTGAGGTAGAAGGAATGCTTAAACCCAGGAGGTCAAGGTTGCAGTGAGCTGTGATCGCACACCACTGCACTCCAGCCTGAGCAACAGAGCAAGACCCTGTCTCTAAAAAGAAGAATGAAAAGTGGCCGGGCACAGTGGCTCACACCTGTAACCCTAGCACTTTGGGAGGCTGAGGAGGGTGGATCACTTCAGTCCAGGAGTTTAAGAGCAGCCTGGACAACATGGCAAAACCCATCTCTACAAAAAATACAAAAATTGGCCAGGTGCAGTGGCTCACTCCTATAATCCCAGCACTTTGGGAGGCCAAGGTGGGCGGATCATCTGAGGTCAGGAGTTCAAGACCAGCGGGGCCAACATGGCGAAACCCCATCTGTACTAAAAA